GGAGAAAGGGAGAAACGAGCGGCTTGGGGAGCGTATAAGAACATCGAGGGAGTAGTGAAGAAGACGAAGAACATCCGGCTCCGTGCCCACCTCTTCGATTCCGCTGTCCTTCCTGCCCTAACCTACGCCTCAGAGACTTGGACTCTGCGCAGGCAGGACGAGCATGCGGTCAGCGTTATCCAACGCGCTGTCGAGAGGACGATGCTAGGAGTAACCCTATACACGCAAGTGCAGAGGGGAATCCGGAGTGCCGAACTACGCCAACGATCGAAGATCAGGGACGCTGCCGTTTTCGCCAAGGAATCGAAGATAAGGTGGGCCGGACACGTCATGCGATTTTGCGATGACCGTTGGACCAGAGCGGTTACCGACTGGATCCCTCGGGACGTCAAACGAACACCTGGACGACCGCCGGCCCGATGGTCAGACTTCTTCACGAAAGCTCTGAAAAAGGAATGATGGACACCGTGTCCCTCGAGCGAGGAGGGTCCACTGGACAACTCTTGCACGCGACAGGGACGAATGGAGACGTTGCTGGCGCCCGCTCGAGCAATTCGATGATCAACGGGACGACAGGTGATACAGGTGACAGGTGAAGAGGAACCACCAACATGTATATGTTTTTAATGCATACCATAGGGAAAGATTCAGTCTTCCTCCTGTATACAAACAAGTTTGTATCTAACCACACCATGAAAACTACCGAAAATCACCGCTTTAGAAAGAAATTCCACCACGATATCAATGTGCACTTGTAGCCGAGGGAATTTACATTTTTTTTTATCTCCTAGATGGCAGTGATACTTGATTGTTCTGGACCCCTTCCAACATCCTATTCCTCGTTCGGTAAGAAGTGAGGCACATTTATTGCACTCGAAAATGAAAATAGAGACGCGAATGGGACCTCAAACGGAGCGACCACGATGCCTGAAAGGTGGTGCGGTTGTGATGACATCATTGAAACACGGCCATCTAGACCCTTCAGCGCGCTGGAGGTGTGGCAGGAGCCGCCCCTTAAGCCCGTTACATCAATGGCGTTCAATGCCGTCGTCAAAACGCACCACCCTATAGCCATCGTGATCCCTGCCTATAAGAAAGAAATGTTAAATCAAAGAAGGAAAAAGAACCACACAGAACACTGCCATCCTTTTTTCGATAAGTAATGTGTCGATGAGGCAGACAAAAGACACTGTGGGCCGAGACGAGCGCATAAACAAGACGTAGGGCATAGCACACGTGCGAAAACGCCGTGTGTCCCTTTTCTAATGAGTCACAAGGGTGGCAGCAAGCGACTGAAGGGACTAAGCCTTACTAAGGGGGGCCTCAATTTCTTCTAAGTTCTCTACTTCATAAAATATCTAAGGTTCTCTCACGAACATGACGTTTGTTTATCCCAATAGCTTCAATTTACCTCACTTGGGGATCATTTGGTGCCCTTCTTAAGCACTTTTCCACGAATTCGATAAAAATTTAAATGTGAGTGTTGCTCTATTGCAAGACAAGGGACATCCTCTAGGGTACAATCCCCGGAGGGGGGAAATGAAAAAATGAAAATGAAAAAAATGTAATTGCTAACGCATCCTGGAGTCTATCCTTCCCCGGCTGATGCTTCGAAAAAGGAGATGTTTACGTGGTTCCAAATGCATTCTCACCACAGTGCTCCGTATCTTGCCATAGGGACTGTAGGAGCTATTGATGGCACTGCAATGAAGTTTGCATCTAATATTAGCACTATCGCTACTTGGAGCTAATCTAAAAGCTCCAACCTGAGGGCAAAAACTTTGTCATCACGAAGTATTGAACCTTAGGACCATCCATCACTCGCTAGCTTTCACGAGCCGCTTAGTGAAGATGGACCTCGATTTAGTGCTCCACGCATGAGCTTCTATAAACCATTTCGGAAAAGCGCCCCACACATTAAGAAACCCCTTTGTTAGCGTCCTTTTGGTGCGCTTTCCAATTCCTAAGCGGCATAACTTCTGCACCGTGCTACCTAATTGTTTTTTACTTCACAAAATATGCCGCGAATCGCGAGGATCGCTTAGAGGGAGCCCGCGGGTGCGGTGCATGCGGCGAAGTTGCCGTCATGACCCTATCTACTGTCTTCGTGATCGCGCAGCAACGTGCGGTGCTGTTATCGACAGCAACATCACGATCCCTCCCGGGTACCATTCTTCTCTCTTCAACGGGCTCAACCTCTCGTCAACTTCTCAACTCTGCACAGCAACCCCGCAGGGCTTTGGGCCCTTAGAACTATTGTTGGAATTCCCGCTGTCGAACTGTATTCGAAGATATCTCCCCGTACAGTTCGTTTCCTGCGGGTTCGAGGTAGAGAAACGACGTGAGTTCTTTTTTCTACTAGCCTCTGGGTTGCGCTTAGTTGACGTTAAGTGAATATATACTCGATATCCGGTAGTTGGGGTAGGTGTGTCACCGGAAGTGACGTGCACTTGATAGAAGTTGCGTGGATAAGCTGTTTCCAGCATACATCGCTGGATATCAGCAAAGCATGCTGGCAACAGCTTATCCACGCAACTTCTATCAAGTGCACGTCACTTCCGGTGACACACCTACCCCAACTTTCGGATATCGACTGTAGAGCAGGGTGAATAACGGTCGAGGAAATCCTCGACCATAGCTCTCTACCATGCGAGAGTAGTGCCGAGAGTGAACATCCGCGCGGAGAGCACAGACGGCACGGCATGGCGAGTGTGAATGTCCGCGCGAGAGATCGTCTCTGATCGGGCAGAGAATCCTCGACGTGCCGTTGAGGAATCCTCAAGCGATATTCACCCTGGTAGAGTGTAGTCTCCATTAAAAAATTACAAATAATTTTTCCTTCTCCCAACTTCGTATCTTTAGGTGTGGTCCTAGTTAAGAAGGTATCTGTCGGTTCCTTGATTTCCAGTTGTATCAGAAGGATGGTGGTGGGCTAGGTGTAAGTTAAGCGCTTAAGACCATAGTTCACGTATCGATCAGGGCTAGATGCCCAAAAAAGTGGAGGTTGGTTTGGAGCACCTAGGCTCAAGGGTTTTTTGGGAATTGTGTCCCTCGAGGGGTTCGCGCTTAGGAAGCTCACGCGTTCCTCTTCAGGCTAAGTGGGTTTTCACCCTGCGGTCACCGATTCGCAACAAAATATGTATGTCTCTGATCGAGTCTTCGTGCAGCAGACAATCCCACAGCTAAACACAATTTATACTAAAACAAATTATACACAGTGAAGATGTTCGAGATCAAAATTAGACAGACTCAATAGACGATTTAACTAAATTGACAGCTTAGCGAATGGATTAAAAGAGGCAAGTTGGAATGGGTGACACAGACGTGTAGAAGTCATTCAGGCTCTCATTACTTTCAATGGCTTTTCACAAAACAAAATGTGCTACTAGACCAAAGCCCCCCCCCCCCCTGCGTACAAAGCATGTAATAGTCTCTCAATCCCTCCCCTCCCCCCCCCCGTCACCATTATTAAGTAATTTCACGTATACGCCATAGATAAAACAAAGCTATAATGGTATGATTGCGGCATAAATTCGTTGAGCCCGGACACTTAGAGCTCACTTTTTCGGGGCTGGAGGAGGAGCAGGAGCAGGTGCCTTGGGTGCACCTCCAGGCTTCTGTGCAGTTGGTGATGGAGGCGGTACGGTAGGTTTTGCAGGCGGCGCGGCTGGCGGCACGGCAGGCTTTGGAGGTGGCGCGGCAGCCGGTACGGCAGGCTTAGGAGGCGGGGCGGCAGGCGGTACGGCAGGCTTAGGAGGCGGGGCGGCGGGCGGTGCAGCAGGCGGTGCAGCAGGCTTTGGGGGTGGCGTAGCAGGTTTAGCTGGAGCAGGTTTCGGAGCCGGTGAAGGTGGCGTCGCTGGAGCCACAGGTGCTGGCTTTGCAGCGCCAGCAGCCGGTACTGGTGTTGCTGCTGGCGCTGCAACAACACCAGCACCGGCTGCTGGCGCTCCAAACCCAGGACCAGGAACAACAGGTGTGCCAGCAATGCCAGCAGCACCAGCAGTGCCCGCAGCGCCAGCAGCTCCCGCGACCACAGTGAATGGTATCGTAAGTTGTTGTATACCAGTGGGCGGCAACTTCTTGAAAGCAACGACAGGGACTGCTCCGGTATCCGGTGGTGATAAGCCAAATTGAACAACCATTTTGTCGTCCTTGACTGGTCCAGACAGACGAACCACGAAGATCAGATGACTGCCTATCGGGTCGACGAAGCCGTACACGGGTTTGATACGGTATTCACGATTGTTCGAGCATTTCACTTTGAACACTACTCGTGTATCTCCGGCGTTCAGAAGCGTATGAGTAGACTTTCCACCAGACGCGGAAAACTTTGCTTGCTGTGGATCGACCGTCAGTAGAGTCCTAAAGAAGCAACTATTAGCGAAGCAAAATAAAATATGCTAGTCAGTCTTGGGACTTACTTTCCAACGTCGGGTGCCACAGCTTCCTCCAAGTTCACATCCTCGTAGTTACCGTCGCCCTGTAGAAAAGAATTTTACAGTCATGCATATCTACCTGATCTGAAAATGTACTTGTATTGGAGAGATAAGTTCTAGAGCTAAACTTACAGGGTCACTCCCCGGAGCTGGGTTCATCTGAAAACAAAGCATAAGCGTGACAACTTCGTTGAGCAAAGCTAGAGACACTTTGCTTAATTTTAGAAGTACTATAGGTCCTGCGGACAAAAGGGGAGGGTGGTAGGGTAAAAACTTTGGCTAGGTAAACTCGCCAGAGTTCCAACCCTCCTCCCTAGCCGAGCGTGTGCTAAATCGCGTCTGATCCACACAGCACGTTCTATTGCACACTAAACGCCTTCTCCTCTTTTACTAGGGTGTCGGTTTTGTGATATGTGTGCATGTATCTAATTGGGCCTCTGATGAGAATCAGGTCAGCTCATTGACACGCACTTGCTATAAGGTGCGGCAGCCGCCACCTGGAAGCTGTAGACCTGCCTAATGAAGGGTTCATAGTTGGCGACCGTAAGTGCGATTAGGTGATTCGTCTATAATGGGGAATATACGTATAGATTAGGCGATCAGGCGAGTAGGCGATTAGGCCGTAGCTGAGGATACATGCGTATTGAATGATTAGTTCGCTCCTCTGAAGTCGAGTCGTTCATCAAGTTGGGATCGTACGTCGCGATTAGGCGACTAAGACAAGAAGTAGGCCGATGATCTCAGAAATTGAAAAGTATGCGGCATGATTAAGGCGATTAGCGCGCGAGTAGAGCGATTAGGCGATTGACGTAAAGGATACGTATCGATGTTAGGCGAGTACGGCGAGGTACGGGCCGAGTATGGCGATCAAGGTGAGTAGCGATTAGGCCGTTTAGTAAGGCCCTATACAGGGAGGGTTAACGTAATAATTGTGGTTCCGCCCGCCCAAAGGGACGATCGACCTACATCGTCTCAACCTCGCTAATCGCCTAGTCACCTAAATCGCCATATGCGCCACGTACTGAATACTGACGCTCTCATAAGCGGAAGGGCACACATGCAGTATGGAACGCAGCGACGTTGAGCGGTCCTGGAATAGAAGGACAACCACCTGTTGTGCGATGTGCTTCCAGCCTTCAGAGGTGCCTGGTGTTGCACGGCAGGTGATGGTGTTACAGCGGAAGGTCAAGATCTCGACGGTGTATCGAAGGAGCAACCTGGGGAAAGTGGTAGTTGCGTTTTGAATGCATTGGGCTCTCCGTTTGATGCTCTCCCTACGATACCACGTCCTGCAATGTGTCCCAGCAACAAGCCATCTCATCTATATCTATGTTTTACCAGCCAATATTTACATGGTTTGCCAAGAGCTGCCTAGTCGTTATGTTGGAGTGTATTCTGTGAACGCTGCCTCGAACTAAATGCCTGCGATTCAAAGAGTTGGAGTAGTGTTACGGCATTGAATTAGACCTCGAAATCTTTGATAAAAATGGACAAATTGGGAAAGCGGTAACCCACTCAAAATCATGGACACGGGCTTGTTCCCAGCACCGGCATCGATAAAGTCAGTGACGCCTTCGCCAGCGGTCATCGCTAGTTCGCCGACATCCTTTCCGAGCGATCTGACCACACTTTTTCCGTCGTCTTTCTTCGGAGCCGCCTCTGTCTTTGCTTTCGCATTAGATGCCTTCTCTGGAGTTTCCTCTTTCACTTCAGCAGGGGTGGCGGCTTTCTTTTTGGGAGTCTCTTTTGACTCCGCTGACTCTTCGATTACGGGACTTTGAGCAGGAGGTTGCTGTTTGCGAAGGGGCCTGCGTCTCTTTCTTGATGCGCTGGAAGAGCTTTCGTGCGACGTCGCTGGTGACTCGAAATCTGACGCCGCGGTAGGCGCATTTCTCTTCGAGCATTTGGCTACAAGACTGAGCACTGCTGCTAGAATGTAAAGGAGATAAGCGAACGCAGTAGCATCGGCCTGAAAGTAGTAGGGATCGTGATGTTTGTTGCTTGAACTTGAACGATGAATTTGCATACCGTCAGGCTCATTTCAATGAACCGTCCGACCGCCGAGATGATCTATGAAATAACCACACTGAGGCTCATCTGTTTTCTCAATGATTTTTAAAAAGATCAAATCAAATCAGTGTTCTGATTTTCATTTCATTTTTCTGGGAGTGTTCAGTGCTTCAGTTCGGCTTGAAGAATTTGAAACCATTTGCTTTTATCAGCCCTTTGAAACAAAACCACCGCTGAAATTGTGAATGTAAAAGTCTGCCCACCCCGAACCTTCTCTCCCGTCCATCATTATACGACAGTCCCCCGAAACTATTGTCTGCTATCTTAAAGGAATCTTCCACGGAAAAAGCTCCGCCCTCATTACCACAGAAAACGATACCTTAAAGGAATCTTCCACGGAAAGAGTGATCATTTTGTCTTGTGTGTAGGATTAGTATTATCGAAACTAACGCTTATGTTCCGTTCTTTTTGCTATGCTCATGAGGCTAGGGGCCTAAGGGGTATCGTTTTTCTGTGGTAATGGAGGCGGAGCTTTTTCCGCGGAAGATTCCTTTAATGCAGCATTTTTCTCTTCCTTCTCGTCCTCTTTCCTTCTCCTTGTTCATCCCCTAGCCTTAATCAAGCACAATTGAGGATCTGCTGCTCGTGTTGGAGATCTCCACCTCGGGCCTACCCACGACATATTGCAGTGGGTCTGAATTCAGCAAGGTCTTACTCCTGACGTACCTACACCTTTTCTTGAGCTCTTCGCGGTCGCTACCTTGCATTAGGTAGCCCTTCTCTCTTTCCGTAGAGTGATATTTGACCTCCTTAGCAAATGTCTGTACAGTCACAGTCTGTCGCTGCTTCCGCACCTTCAGTTGGACAGGAGCACGCAGCCTGGATGACCGCTTTGACGTCCTCAGAGCGGTCACTGCATGACCGCTCTGAGGACGTCAAAGCGGTCATCCAGGCTACTCCTGTCCAATTGAAGGTGTGGATGCTGCGATATGCGTGTGTCTGGTCGCGTCCAGCCGTCGCCCATTTCAGCATCATCATTTCCGCGAGTAGAAGTGTATCTCATAGTTTTTGCCCACGGCCAGACTCCGCTGCAGTATATCGTCGTGGGCTTCACCACTACGATGCACATTTTTTTAAGTGATCTGGACCATCCCTGATCGCAGAGAATTCAATGGGTGTCATCCATGCACCGTTGGGTCGTGCACTTACCACATGATCTCACACCTCGG